TAAGGTAGATAGTAGACAGAGATTTGAACAGGTGTGTTCACAATGTCCAACCATAGAAATTTCTTTATCAGCTTCTAACTGCTTTATCCAACCAAGGCATAAAAACTGGGCAAACTTTTTTGTACCTGCAGTACTTATCCAGAAACCAGTTAGTGTTAAAGATGACAAAGGAGAAAAGAGAATCAGATAAGAAAACAAAAAGAAATTTTATATATACAATCATATATATATATATATATATATATATATATATATATCTTTGATACCCTCTGAAGAGTGGAGAGACATGTCCGCCTACAAATCTCTGGAGTCAGGATACGGAAGGTAACATCAATCATCTAAGTGACAATCTTTTACTTATATTAATTCTATATAGTTATAAATTGTATATCTGCATATGCATATATATATATATATATATATATATATATATATATATATATATATATATATATATATAGATAAAAAAGAGAGGCGTAGAGGGACAAGTTTCATTAAAAATGAATGACAAGATACCGCAGTTAAGTTTTTTATTTAATTTTTCTTAATTTCTTATAATTTTTTTTCTTTTCTGGACATAAGGTATGTAGAAATGAACATGGCCACAATGTGCTGATTATGTTTGAAAAAAAAAAAAGCCAACACTCAATAATATCAAGTATGAACATAGCCACAATATGCTGACAGTGTTTGGAAAATAAAACATTTCTATAACTTTAGATACATATATAAAAAAAATCCACACATTCAGTTAAAAGTCAAAATAAGCTTATCCTTGTTAATGAGTAAAAGTTGAAAATGCTCAGACATTCAGACAATTCCTATATAATTTATGTTCCCCCAAAAAATAAGAACCTAAGAAAAATTAAATAAAAAATTTAACTGTAGTATCTTGTCACTTGTTTTTAATGAAACATGTATAAAAGAGGATTGCTGCCCAAATACACATATATATATATATATATATATATATATATATATATATATATATATATATATAAAGGGTACTGAAATGCTGTTGGTCTAACCTGAAAGGGATTCCCCCATCATAAATTCTGATATTTGATTTGGTTATTTGGCCCAATTTTGGGATGTGAGTTTAGCCAAAAACTTTCATCTTATGATAGATATGTATATTATGTGTGTGTGAATGCGCCTGTGTGTTTTTGTGCATGTACATGTACATATTAATCTGTTGATGTGTGTGTGCGTGTGTGTGTCTCTTTGTTTTTACTTTTTTCTCCTAATATGTGAGTCATATGAAAAACATATCTTAATCTGTACTAATCATGAGAGCAAGATTAATAAAGATACCATCTGACAGATCAATGGTGGCTGTGCAGAAAACATCCGTTATGTGTGTGTGTCTCTGTGCGCGCACATGTGTGTGTGTGTGTGTGTGTGTGTGTGTGTGGCTGTGTGTGTGTGGCTGTGTGTGCATGTGCATTATATACCCAACCCAAAGTCAGCATCTGTTTACTTGAGTAGAGTCAACAAGTCTGTAGCCTGATAGAGCTGAATTTTGATCTGAAATTTCTCTGTATAGTGTTTAATCTCTATGATTAATAGAGAAGTGTTGGGTTGTGCATTGACAAAGAAGGAAATTATGTTGAAAAAATAAATATTTATTGTCTAAAATAAATATTTTTTCATCATAACATTAGAGGCTTGTTGATATATTTGAATCTATGTCCTTGGATATGTGCTTATGCCTCCTAACCCTGCCCTCTAACCCTAACCCTGACCCCTAACCCTAACCCTGACCCCCTAATTCTAACCCTGTTCCCTAACCCTAACCCTAACACTGCTCATATGTGTTTATTTATACTAAAAACTGAATACAAAACATGTATTTATAAACACATAAGTCATCTATTCATACATGATTATATATATATATATATATATATATATATATATATATATGTATGTGTGTGTGTGTGTGTGTGTGTGTGTGTGTGTATGTATGCGTGTGTGTGTGTATATATATGCATTCTGTTTACTTCTTGTTTGAGTTTGATTGATTGATTTTCTTTTATGGCCCATCAATACTTTATGGGTTATTTAAAGCCAAAACATATTTTGAATTGTAAGAATAATTTTTTTAAGTGAATATTCTGTTAACATTTTTTTAGAATTACAATGATTTTTACAGGTACAAGTTCTACTATTTTACCCATAGCTCAGGGAGGAGATGGATTTATACCTTTCCGAAGACTGTAATTTGAAATCAACTCTCTAATTTCTCATTTTCTGCCTATAGGAATTGGTTTAATGGTTGTTTATAAGTATCAGATGAAAATGTTCAAAATCTCTTTTCGATGTGAAACTGGAATAGAATCGTCACCAAAATGCAATTAAATTATTTGCTACTTTGTGTTCAGTAAGAAAATGGATGATGTAGCATTTTTATCCATATGTTTAACTCAAGGTTGTCTGAATTTTCTTAATGATCAATATAATGGACCATTTTAGTTGAAGGAATTTGCAGTAGAACGAAATAGAAATGATTTTTTAAAACTAAAAAATATCAGGAAAGAAAAGTCAGAAAAGAAAAAAGCAATGAGAGAGAACGTCAGTTTGTGGGTAGCATTCTGGTTTGTTTGGTTTTCTTCATTGAAAAGGAAAGAAGTAAAGGTAAAAGAGAAGGAGGAGGAAGAAAAAGAGAGACAGAGAAGGAAAAAGTAAAAAGAAAGTGATAGATGAGAAAGAGAGTGTTTTGGAAAATGAGAAGCAAAAAGTAATCAAATTACTAATCAAGTCTGCACATATATGTATATATATATATAAACATATACACAAACACACATGCATACATTTGGACACACATATATATATATATATATATCAAGTATCCAATCAAGTTTGAATAAACAGAACCAACAAGCTGTTTTTTTATCATATTTTTCAAAATTTGAATAAGGTGTTGCATATTGTGTTCAAAGTTGTGGATAAAAGCTGTCAGAAGTTCATAGTTTATTATATTTTATTTTTTGTTAATTTTGTTCAAATACTTGACCAATATGATTTTTGGACAGTTTATCCACAACAGACTGAAAGTGAAAGGAAAAGAGAAAAAGGAAGAAAGAATAAAAAGAATAAAATATAAAAGAAATCTGATATAACAGGCTTCAGTGTACCATTCTTAGAATCATGTATATATATATATATATATATATATATATATATATATATATATATATATATATATATATATATATAGAGAGAGAGAGAGAGAGAGAGAGATTAATCATTTTGGGTACAAGGCTACAGGAAGTGAAAGGGAATGAGAAGTGGGCTGAGTTGAGGAAAAGTACAAAAAAAGTAACAGGATTCAGGAAGACAGAAGATGGTGATTGATGTTGAATTTAAATTTTTAAAGATCATAGATTGCAGAGACACAAGAAATTGGAAGGGAGTTCCACAGGTGAGAAGTGCAAAAAAAAAACTATTAGAATAGAACTTATGGCGACATCTAGGTACTTCAAAATGTAAAATGGTGAGTTTTAGTTGCCAATCTAGTAGCAAGCTTAAATTAACGTTGTTGAGGCATAATAACTATAGGACTATAGCCATGAAAATATTTGTAGCAAAGACTGAGTTAAGCTGCATCATCTCATTGGGAAAGTAACTGAGGACGAGATGCCAGGTCAAGATCAATAATATTATAGACCCTTCTTTGAATTTGCTCAAGAATCTCAAGATATGAAGCAGGAACAAGACCAGGTATGGCAGGAATACTTAATGCATGCATCTATGTGCATGTGAAATTATATCTAATAAATACATTGTGAACAAATAAGAAAATAGGGACAATAAAACAAGATATATAGACTATTTCATATATATATATATATATATATATATATATATATATATACTGTGACATATATACATTAGGGTGCGTTGAAAAGTTCTCTATATACAGACACATACACAGACACACATATATACATACATGCATATATATATATATATATATATATATATATATATATATATATATATATATATATATACATCAGGATGTGTTATATACATATATATATATTGATATATATATATATATATATATATATATATATATATATATAGAGAGAGAGAGAGAGAGAGAGAGTGATATGTGTATGTATAATGTATATTTAGGCAGCATGTATTCAAGTTTGGCAAAATAGAATAGATAAAGTCCACTTGATTCATTTTTTATTTTATTTTTCCAATTTTCAAATCAGGTTTTGTGTTTTGAGATTGAAATTTTGGATGAATTGCCTGATGTCTGTGGCCTTTCTTTTTTTTCATTAAAGTCCCTTTCATCCGCTTCACTCATTTTCATTTCTTTTTGACACAGACTCTTTCCTTGGCAATGAATTTAATAAAATGCTTCTTTTCTCAATATATCGAACATTATACAATGAAAATTTTAAAGATTTGGTCAGACTATAAACTTATTGTTCTGCCATTGTGTGTATATATATATATATATATATATATATATATATATATATATATATATCAATGAAGTTAACTTCATCTGGCATTTGGCCGAAAATGTGTGAGTGCCTGGAGAAGATCAAACACATTGTGTCATTAATGGTTTCTATGATGAGCTTGTTGTGATGTACTTATATACATAAATATGCACTTGTGTGTGTGTGTGTGTGTGTGTGTGTGTGTGTGTGTGTGTACAGTTCCATGAAAATATATCACCTCTTTTAGCATGCATACAAAAACGCACATACACTTGTATGCATACACAGGCACACACACATGCATGTACACATATGCATATACACAGCAATGATAGTGCAGGGAAAGGCAAAGTAATGAAAATGTATGTGAAAGTGAGAGAGGCAGAGAGAGAGAGAGAAAGAGAAAGAGAGAGTGAAAGAAAGGGGGAGAGGCGGAAATAGAGGAAAACTTTAAGGAAGAGAGAATCGACAGTTGCACAAAAAGGTTTTGTGTTTTTCGTGAGAATGTCTATCTTTCTATCTAATTATCAGTCTGTTCATATCTCTCTCACTCCCTTTATCTATCTATCTATCTATCTATCTATCTATCTATCTATCTATCTATCTATCTAAGACTTCCTATCTGTCTACCCCTGTTTTAATCTATCTATCTATCTATCTATCTATCTATCTATCTATCTATCTATCTATCTATCATGGTCTGTTCATCTCTCTCTTTATCTATCTATCTATTGATCAATGCAGTTGCCTGGTAATATCTTTCTATCTAATGAAGGCTTTGATAATGATGCTAGCCTTGTAGCATATATATTTCTATGTTTGTGTGTGTGCGTGTGCATATATATATATATATATATATATATAATACTAATAATCTTATAAATATAAGCAGTTATACTCGTCTGGCAAAACCTTAGGTGTTTTAGCTTATAAATGAACAAACCAATACCTAAGGGAAAAAAAAAGGGTAAAGTTTACCCTAACGATCTGCATAAGTGAAACCTAGGTAGGTTTGTCTAGTTCTTTAGGTTTACTTATATATATATATATATATATATATATACACACACACGCATATGCATGTATATATATATATATATATATATATATATATATATATATATATATATATATATACACACACACATATGTATATATATATATATATTTATATATATATATATATATATATATATATATATACACTCACACATCTGCATATATATATATATATATATATATATACATATACATCTATGTGAAGAATAAGTGAGAGATAAGTAAAAAAAAAGAAGGGAAAATCTGAAAGAGAAAATGAAAGAAAGAAACAGATGCAAAGAAATAGAAGAGAAAAACTTGACTGATGCACAGTTTCCACATGTCGACTTACCCTCTACACATATCCGATCTTTTGTGTACGCATATGTTTATGTATAAAAAGGAGATAGAAAGACAGAGTAACAGAGAGTTGGGAGAATAGGGAGGGTAAGAAGTAGGGAGATATAGCATGAGAGAGTGAGAGGGGTGGAAAGAGAGAGAGAGAGAGAGAAAGTTGTAAAAGGTAAAGAAAATATGTTGAGAACGGTCTGAGAAAGCATCATCAAGTAAAAGAGTGGGAGAGAGAGAGAGAAAAGAGAGTGACAAAGATGACAGAAATAAAGAGAGAGAGAGAGTAAAAGAAAGAAAATGGAAAAAAAGAAAGAGAAAAAGAAAAGAAAGAGATAAAGATACAAGTAAAAGAATCAAAGTCAAATTCTGAGTGAATAGAGAGAAATAAGGAGACAAAGGGAAAGGAGAGTGGAGAGAGAAAAGACAGCTATATGTTTATTAAAAGAGAAATAGAAAGAAAAAATGAAATAATCAGAGTGGGGAGAAGAGAGATAAAAAGAGAGAGAGAGAGATGTATAGAGAAAGTGACAGAGAGAGAGAAAGAGGAAGAACAAGAAGTAAAAGAGAAAATGCAACAGATAAAGGAAAAAAGAAAAAGTAAAAGATGAGACGGTGAGAAAGAGAACAAAGAAACAGAGTAATAGAGAGTGAGAGAGAACAAAAGAGAAAGTGATGAGGAAAAAACAAAGAAGAAGAGTGATAAAGATAAAGAGAGGGGGGAAGTAAACAGAAAGAGAAGGTGAAAAAGAAAAAAGATAAAGATAGTGTAAAACAGAAACAGAATGAGTGAGAAAAGGATGAGAAAAGTGGATGTGAGAGAGAGAGAAGGGAGAGAGTGAGAAAGTGAGAGAGAGAGAGAAAGAGAAAGAGAGAAAGATAGAAAGGTAGAAAAGGTTTGATTAACCTACCAATACCAATTGACAATCAAATTGAAGGTTTAGCAGTAAGGCCCAACCTGAATATATCTTGCACAGGCATGGTACACTCGAACTTTCCGTTGGAGAGGGTGTTAGGTGAAAATTTCGGTCGACCACAAAGCGAGGTATAATAAAAACCGACAGAGGCTCACTTACTGGAAATGTCCACATCCAAAAATATGTCACAGTACACCTGGCTACTAATTGTTTCCTTGAATGAACAACGGGGGTTTACAAGTGTGACAAGTTCTGCAGGTGACGTGCAGACAACTATATTTACTGAGTTGGGAGACTGGGTCTCAATTCCTCCCGCAATTAAACGTGTTTGTTCCAAATCATGCTTACACGGTCAACCAGGAATGGAGAGTGGGGAAGCAAATGGGGTGGGGAGGAAGAGGAGGAGGAGGAGGAGAAAGAGGAGGAGGAGGAGGAAGAGGAGGACAATCGCGGAGAAGAGTACGAAACAGTCTATGATATATTGAAGGCTACAGGCAACTGGTCTGCTTCTATATTATCACTGACTGTGAATGGTCGTCTATCTGTATGTCTATCTGTATATATGCCTATTGTGGCAAGAGGAAGCATCAGCATAACAAGCAAAATATTCCGAAAATAATTTCATGAGAGGTTTCCAAAATGGAAATCTTTTCAGCTTATCAGTAGATGGCTTTATACATACAAACAAAATATAGATAGATATATAGATATAGAGATGTATATATAGATATATGGGGGCGGTTGGATGTACATGTGCGTATGTACAAAAGAATAATTGCAAACCAGTCCTTTATGCTTTGACTGATTAATATAAGCTGTATGTGATAAAAATAAATGTATTTATATATTTACAGACATATAAAACTTAGAAAAAATGCATCAAGATTAATATTTGCACACACACTGATATCTAGCTAGCTAGCTAGATAGATAATGAATAGATAGATTTGATCATAGACAGATAATGAACAGAGATAGATAAATAGATAAGGAAAATAAGATAGATAGATAGATAGATAGATAGATAGATAGATAGATAGATAGATAGAATAGCATCCATTTATCTATAAAATTTTCTAATCTAAACAGATAAATAGATGATGAAGTTAGATAGAAATGAACAGACTGAGATAGATAGATAGATAGATAGATAGATAGATAGATAGATAGATAGATAATGAATAGATAGATTTGATCATAGACTGATAATGAACAGACAGAGATAGATAAATAGATAAGGAAAATAATATAGATAGATAGATAGATAGATATGAACAGACTGAGATAGATATGAACAGACTGTGATAGATAGAGAGAGAGGAAGAGAGAGAGAAAGATATGAACAGACTGAGATAGATAGATAGATAGATAGATAGATAGAATAGCACCCATTTATCTATAAAATTTTCTAATCTGTGTAGGCAAGTGTGTACACATGTGTACATACACATTCAGATATATTTATATATGATAAGGTGCTGAAAAGTTTTTTGCATCAGCAGCTCTTCTTTATTAGGCAAAAAAACCTTTCTCTAGTTTCTTTCATTCATAGACATTCTTATTTTATCATCATTAATATCATTATTTTTAAAGATATTTTATCATTTAGATATCATTTTAATTATCAAGGTCATAAATATAATCCCATTCATCACATGTGTGTGTGTGTGCGTACAGGATGCGCTGAGTAAATTGCAACCATTTTATATTTTTACTTTCACATATGCTCATCATTTCTTTTTGATTTTGTCGACTGCACATTAGAGTAGGGTCAGTTGGCCTGTGAAAAAAGTAGTACCATGATGCAATTCACTTTGCCAGAAATCTGGAAACAGCATGCTGTACTGCTTGACATTTGTGCCAGAACTTCCAAAATGAACATTTCAGGGTGTTTGGATGTCAAGCTGAGGAAAGTGCAGACAATTTGAAAGGAGTTGGATGAGTCTAATAGTGATTACCAAGGTACGGCAGCTCGAAAAACTCATTATGATAGTTCTGATAAGAAAAAACTCCCGACTTTGTTGGTGAGGGCTTCGACTCAACACGGAGGCCTACATAAAGTGCCTTGAGGAAGTAGTGCTACCCTAAGTCAAGAGGGTGGAAGAGCCTATGTCTGGCAACAGGACTTTACAACATGCCACACAATAGTCATGGCTGACAGACAGTTTTTGCAACCACATCACTCCTTACATCTGGACACCTCACTCCCCAGACTGTAACTGCCTTGATTATTATGTGTGGATTGCATTTGAGACCAAGAAAACTCCTTGTAACACCAAAGATGAACTGAAGACAAGGATTATGGCAGCATTCACTGACTTAAACAAGAAGATTGTCCAGAAGAGTTGTAGGCGATTCTAAAGTTGTCTGGAGGTCATGGTTGAAGCCAATGGTGATTTTCTTAAATAAATTTACTCTTTAGTACATCAAGATATTTTTGTGTAATTTTGATAAATATATAAAAATGAGATGTCAGCATTATTTTCATTTTTCTGTAATTCACTTGACAATTTATCCCCATCACATACTGTTTATATATATATATATATATATATATATATATATATATATATATATGCAAATGCACAATACTGTAGAAGATAGTGTTCATAACTATAGACAGTATAGACATAGAAATCAACTCTGTATGGTGACTGTCAGTTTCATATCTCAATGTGTTCTTGTGAGTCAAGAATTTAGAATTTCCTCTTTGTCCGAGAAGGATTATTTGTAATTTGTAAAAGTCAGTCACTAAAATTAATTGACACAAAATGTCTGCTGTCTTTAATAACATTTGACTTAAATAAGATTTGCTCCCTAAATACACAGAATAGACACTTTTGAGTATCTGATTTATTGAATGTGTATGTATGTATGCATATACAAGCATGAATATTTGTAAGGGTATAAATATATATAAGAACACACACACACATATAATATATATATATATATATATATATATATATATATATATATATATATATATATATATATATATATATGATATTGATACAAATCATGATATAATGACAAAAATGTAGTTTTAAGGTATGGCCTGACAATTACATTTAAGCATGAAACAGAATGTCTCTGCTGGATGTTGACCTCAATGTTGACTTTTAAATATATATATATATATATATAGATAGATAGATAGATATATTTATGAAGAGAAAGATGCATAGATGTGCATATATTTTTTGCATTTACACACACACATTTGTATCCAAGTATATCAATCACAGACTTAGATATATTTAATCTATTCACCCTAAGCAAGGCAATAATCCCACTAAGACACAAACAGTTTTGGTGAGTGAAAGAGAATGGGATGATTTTAGAAGAAACCAGAAACCCAATCCCAAACAAGAAACGAGAGATAAAACCTCTACTCCTATTTAAAAAGGCCAAGATGTATGTGGACCATGGGATAAACAAATGTTTCTACACTTAATTTATATATATATATATATATATATATATATATATATATATAATGGCTGGTAACTCTTTTTTCTGAGTACACTCATCTGCTAGGATTGCTAACCAATACTTATCTCAGGCACTTGCCTACGAACATTAGTATTTGTTCAACATTCATAGATCCCACCTATAGTTTATACTGCAACCATGCTGAGTGGATGATAGTTATATTTTAAGGGAGAGAGCATATAATAATGTCATGATTATCATTTTGAACAACACCCTCGGTCAAGATGACTAGTGACTTTTTGCTACAACTACTCAATGCTTCTGAACAGTTCTGTCTACCCAATTTCACAATTTTACCAGGGTGTGATTCAAAGACATTGATATATATATATATATATATATATATATATATATATATAAATTACTAGAAAACTAATGACTATTATTCATATATATATATATATATATGTATATCATGTAATCACATATATTTACACACACACACCTATAAAGTGAGTGAGAGAGGATTGTGAGAGTCAAAGTGAATGGATTCCTATGTCCACAGTCGTATCTTTGATACTGAGCACTCACCCCTATAAATATATATATATATATATAACAATGTTTTTAGTTCTTTCTTTTTTTATATCCAAATGTTTTCCTCAGCTACCAATTTATTTTGACATATCTACAAGTTGAGCTATGTGAGGTTTTTTACCTAATGAGTATTACTATCAGTATATATATATATATATATATATATATATATATATATATATTAGGTAGCAAGCTCGATAGCTAGATATGAACAGATAGGTGGATAAAGAAAGAGACAGAGAGATGAACAGGCTGATGAAGGGAGAGAGAGCAAGGGAGAGAGAGAGTCACAACCTGATTACTAGCTACCTAGGAACAAAGAGAAAGATAGAGGGAGACAGAGAGGAAGAGACACTGAGAGAGATATGAACAGGCTGATAGATAGATAGATAGATAGATAGATAGATAGATAGATAGATGAGGAGAAAAGTGAGAGACTGATTGAGCATGATTGTGAGAAAGTTAACTATGCTCAGAGATAGAGAAAAGAGATGAACAGGCCAAGACACACGCACACATATATATGTTTGTTCTCTCTCTCTCTCTCTCTCTCTCTCTCTCTCTCTATATATATATATATATATATATATATATATATATATAGATAGATAGATAGATAGATAGATATATAAATACATATTTATGTATGAATAGAAGATCAAATATAGATTGAGTATGGATAGTAATCTAACAAGATGAGAGGATAAAGAACAAGTAGGAAAGGGATCCTAATCTAAAATATTTCACTTTATTAAAGATTTGTCAGAGATCAAAATAGGACATTTCTATCTTGATCTCTGAGCAAATTAATAAAAGTTCCTACTTGTTAAATTTATCCTATTGTTCTTATCCTATACATACATATACATATATATATATATATATATATATATATATATATATATATATATATATATATATATATATGTGTGTGTGTGTGTGTGTGTGTGTGTGTATTTATATAAGTTGAAAAGTTTTATTAAATTTGACAGGATGATTAAATCAATAATAAGTACATAAGCAAAAAAAATTAAATTAAAGAAAATTCTGATGAAGCTGAATATATAGCGAAACATGTTAATTTTATAAAGATATTCTCTATCTGTTCATTAGTTAATCACACACACACACACACACACACACACACACACACACACATATATATATATATATATATATATATATATATCAACAGATGGGTATATGTTTCCCTTGGAAGCCTACTGTTGATTGATATATATATATATATATATATATATATATATATATATATATATATATATATGTGTGTGTGTGTGTGTGTGCATGTGCAACTGTTTATTGTAGCATACTGTATATATATTTTTTACAATATGAGAAATGACTTTAAGTATTCAGTGTGTATAATCTTTTGGAAATTTGTTCTGTAAGATATCAAGCCTGTCTTTTAGTGAGAATTCTTTGCATCAAGACTTTTTACCTAACCCTTCCAAACTCAGATTCTTGATATTTTGAGAAATTAACAAAGTAAAGTGAACCATTTGGGAGAAAGAAAAAAAAAAAAAAAAATAGGTAGTGGCTCATCTGGTAAACATGGTGATTCCTTACTTTTCATTCTGTTTAGATTTAAGTAAAAGATTCATTTTCACATTCCTTATACATAGTTTTTGTACTGGTCAAGCTGTTTACTTGTAAAATCTAGAAATTTTAATTCTACAAACATCTTTCTTGTGTATAAAATGTTCTACAGACTGACCACAGTTCATCCATTGCATGATATGTGAATTGTGATATCTTGTACTCGTAGTAATATGCACTCAGATATAAGTTTGCTGAACTAGACAAGTAACAGAAGCAGGGAATTGTGGGCACTGCTATTACAGGGGATGTATGATGCAAGCGGGCAGGCAGACAGACAGGCAACATTTCTCTCCCAGAGAGTACAGTGGTACCATCTTTGACCAGCTTGTTTAATATATAATCAAGCTATCTCAGGTTCGTATCCAGGCTTTTGCTGGCAGAGATGTTAAGCAAATTTCTTTTAGATAATTTCTAAATGACATTTTGAGGCAGAAATCGTTTTTGCCTTATGATTGTAAATCAGTTAATAAATTTAATGCTGTGTTTACTTCTCTGTGTTGGAGATTTGCAATGACAAATGACAACATAGTGACAAACATATAAAACATGTCTATTGTTTAACATAAATCCTGGTTCAACTCGTTTTATTTCTAATTGACAAATTGCCTTTCTGTAACTAGGCTCATTAGCTTTTCAGTGGACGCAAAGAAATTGGGGGATGTGAAATAGATTAAAAACTGATTTTGTAAAATTTTCGAAAAGATGTAATATATTCTTAAAAGTTTTTCAAGATAAGAATAAATATTATAATTTTCTACAATTTCCTTTTTCTATCTTTATCTCACTATGCAGATAGATATGAATATATATATATATATATATATATATATATATATAAATGTATGTATGTATGTATGTATAAAGATGAACAAGCTGATAAAGAGATGGGTAGATAGATACATATAAATAAGTAGATAGATATATATAAACAGATAGATAGACAGAGAGAGAGAGAGAATGAACATTAAGTAGCGAGCTTGATAGCTAGATATGAACAGGTAGAAGGATATAGAAAGAGATACACAGAGATGAATCGGCTGTTGAAGGGAGGGAGAGAGGTGAGGAGAGAGACAATCACAATCTGATTACTAGCTACCTCGGAACAGACAGAAAAATAGCGATAGAGAAGAGATAGAGACTCAGAGAGATATGAACAGGCTGATAGATAGATAGATAGATAGATAGATAGATAGATAGATAGATAGATAGATAGATAGAAACAGACTGAAATAAATAGATAGATAGATAGATAGATATGAACAGACTGAAATAGATAGATAGATAGATAGATAGATAGATAGAAACAGACTGAAATAGATAGATAGATAGATAGATAGATAGATAGATAGATAGATAGAAAGAGACTGAAATAGATAGATAGATAGATAGATAGATAGAAACAGACTGAAATAGATAGATAGATAGATAGATAGATAGATAGATAGAAACAGACTGAAATAAATAGATAGATAGATAGATAGATATGAACAGACTGAAATAGATAGATAGATAGATAGATAGATAGAAACAGATAGATAATAGATAGATAGATAGATAGATAGAAACAGACTGATAGATAGATAGATAGATAGATAGAAACAGACTGAAATAGATAGATAGATAGATAGATAGATAGAAACAGACTGAAATAGATAGATAGATAGATAGATAGATAGATAGATAGATAGATGAGAAAAAGTGAGAGACTGATTGAGCATGATTGTGAGATAGTTAAATAGGCTGAGAGATAGATAAATAGAGAGAAAGAGATGAACAGGCCAACATGTATATATATATATATATATATATATATATATATATATATATATATTGAGAGAGATATTAACACTGATAGGCAAATAAGGTGAGAGAGTGACTGATCATGACTACAAGAGAATTAAACAGGCTGATAGAAACAGACTTTGGCTAATTGTAGAAAAGAAATGTAATAAATGCATTTATTTATTAAAAGTCATCATATTTAACCACTCGTTCTTTTTACCTCCCAGTCTCTCCACACACACACACACACACACACACACATACAGTGAGAGAGAGAGAGAGAGAGAGAGGAAGTGAAAGAGACAAGGCGTGAGAGTCTTTGAGAAAAGGAATTCTCTTGAATGGTAATTACTGTTGTAACTAATTCTAAAATGAGTCTTCATTTTAAAAATAGACTCTTTTGTTATCTAAAAGTTTTCAAGAATGCATGAAGAACTACTTTTTTAAATGCATAGTTAGCATTAATGACACCATCAGGTTGTTGAGATTCTAGCATTTAACATGATCACCATAGTTAAGCTATGCTCTACCTGAACAATACCAAATGGGTGACCATTAAGAATTTTGCATGCTATTTATTTCAATTCATTCACACATGAATGAATCTATACTGTATATGTAAAGAAAATTATCTCCACAAATAGTCAGATGTTTAGAATGTAATAAGTTCTAAGGTTTGTATACATCTCTGATTATACTAATAAGCTTTCTTTGAAGCCTTTGTATAGGTTAATGAAAATAGAATGGTAAGAAAAATAGTCTGACGAAGGTAGGTGAGGTTATTGAAACTATAAGCATTGAAATACTGGCAAGAAGAAAGCACAAATAATGCAATAATTCCAGGTTGAAAGATGAAACAAATGTAGAAATGTTTTATGTTTCATTAATTGTATTCATAAAACAAATGTTCAATAAAAATAATTTAGTATGAATTTACAATATTGGAATTTCAAAAAATGCAAATAAAAGTAAATTTTGAATCTTGTGAGATTTTGATTAACATTTTTTTCTTATTTTATATAATTTTTTAATTATCTCAATTAAAATTAAGAAATAAATATAGGTGTGGGTTCACAGGAAACACTAATTATCTCACACTTATTAACAACCTGGTATAGGGTGTTAGCAAATTAGTTTAATGGATCATTGACTACATAATAAATATGACCCTAGTTTAGAGAACTCCTGTTGTGGCCTTGTACCCAACTAAAGTCAGCGTAGTAAATATCTACAAGTAACTGCATGTGTGCGTGTGTGTGTGTGTGTGTGTGTGTGTGTGTGTGTACATGCGAGTGGTTGCAATGCTGCATGTGTTTGTAAATGTTTGCATGTGTGTGCGTCCAAGTGAGTGGTTGCAGTGCTGCCAACTGCTTAAGATAAAGTACTTTCAAACTTCACTTGATGAATCCAGTTATTTTGCATAAAAAAAACATCCAAAGAGGGCATCTAACGACCAAATTCCAAAAATTCCTTTGATTTGCATTCAATTTCACAATGGTCTTGATGAAAGCAAAGAAATATATACAGTCTTAATATTTCATGTACCAAACAATATATAAGTGCTGGAAAGTAAATATGTCCATATTATTTGAGGTTGGTTATCAACTGTATTTTTCTAAAACCCTCCAAAAGTATAATATAATTTATATCAAAGAAAAATCTAAATTTTTCAGCCTAATCCAATTCCCAAAATCTGAACATACAAAGAAATATCAGAATATATTTTAGCATTCTTTCTTGATTAGACTGAAAACATTTTCAGAATCCAAGACACACACATACATGAGCACGCATATACATGCATACACACATGCATGTCAGTATTTGCGTGCATCTACATAAATATGTATATTATATGTCAAATATTTTTAAGTATTCATAAAGCTTAATAATTTGGTTTGATGATTTAAATGGTTCTAAAAGCCAAATGGGAAGTTTTTTTCACATCAAAACACAAATTTAATAATTTGAATTCCTTCTGAGATGAAAATTCTACAAAATGAGATGGAATCCATAAAGTGGCAGAGAAGTAAACAATGAAAGAAGCGCATACATTCATGTGTGTATGTGTGTTTGTGTGTGTCCGTGTATGTGTGTGCACGCGCGTGTGTGCGCGCGTATGTGTATCTGTGTGTACATGATTCTTACATTTCAATATATATCTATCTCTCTCTCTCTTTCTATATATATATATATATATGTATGCATATGTGTGTGTGTGTGCATATGTATGTATGTATATAGAGATAGATAGATAGATAGATAGATAGATAGATAGATAGATAGATAGATAGAAAGATAGTATGAAAACCTAAGAGAGATAGAAAAAAAGACAATGATATGAAGTGATTATGATAGATAGAAACAGACTGAGATAGATAGATAGATAGATAGATAGATAGATAGATATGAATAGACTGAGATAGATAGATAGATAAATAGATAGATAGATAGATAGATAGATAGATAGATAGATAGATATGAATAAACTGAGATAGATAGATAGATATGAATAGACTGAGACAGATAAATAGATAGATAGATATGAAAAGGCTAAGATAGATAGATAGATAGATATGAATAGAAGAATAGATAGATAGTATCTATAGGATGTATATATATCCTTTACATTCACAAACCCATCTGCCCATCTATAAAAGTATAATTATCTTTAACAGAGAAGTAGATTTTCCACTTTGCCTTTTTCATTCTGCTCAACATGACAAAAGTCAATGGCCTGCACAACATACATCTGCACATATGCATTGTGTGATGCCATATTTAAGCACACATATAAGTATCTTTATACACAAAGAGGATTCTTTACAACTGAACACACACACACACACACACACACATATATACACATATATGCATGTAAATATGTAATAATTTTTTTAGTCGCATGAATCTGGTTCTAATAGGAATTCTTTTAATTAATATAGAAAAATCTTTCAGTTTGGATCCTAATTAACTTTACTGAAATCCCAAAGATTGGAATTCCCTAAAATCTCCTTCTTAAAAATCAATATTAGTGAATGTCTAAAAATAATTTAACCATTTAATATCCATCCAATATACAAAAATACAATGGAAAAATAAAAATAAAAAAATTTTATAAATATAGTTCTTCTATTCTACCCTGAACTTTTCACGATATCTTAAACCTTGAAATCATAAAAGAATGAAATGGCAATTTATTTAATTAATAAACTCTTTTATAATTAAGTTGCAGAATTTTTTCTCAATATTTCTGTTCTTATAACTTTGTTTCCAATATGAAGATTTTCCTCTATATAATTATTCCTCCTTCAGTTTTGGCAATGAGCAAGGTCTTAACAGGAATGACAACCACCTTACTTGAATTGGTTTTCCTTCATGAAAACATTGTTATTGTTTTTCTATAACCAGAAATTTTGGAGATATAACTTTAAGATTATTTCTCTGAACTTTTAGTGAGATGTTTTTGTTTTACTTAGTCGAATAGATCCAATTTCTACTTGGTAACTTTGACTTTACGATGCAAAGAAGCAACAAATCTGCAACAGATTTGGTGCCAACAGGATGAAAAATATTTAAGGAGTTTGACAAAAGAACAGGAACTTAGAAGAAGTGAATAAATTAAGATTTTACGAAGGGATACAGTTTTATGAGCCGTATTTTTATTCCATTCAGTGTTTTTTGTTTTTAAAAGCAAATTTTTTTCAGATTTATTTGATCTGTTGCTCAATTTTTATTTAAAAAATCTTTTGTTTTTATTATTTTCTAAGGAATAGGAGAAGAAAAATAGAAAAATTCACAAAATAAAAGATTATAAAATGTCACTGTTTGGTCGCATTGTCAGAAAATTAGTGTTAAATAATATGACAAAGACACAGATATTTGCCTCTGAGCATTTATTAATCTCTGGCACTGAAAAGCAAAGGAATAGATAAAGCATTGGACTGACAATCATAAAATTACTCTATTACTTGTCTTAGTAAAGAAAGCTTCTAACTTCCAATTGGTATCCTATAGGGTCCACAATAAGAAAGGGGGACAAATCATTCAGACATTCTTGAATATCAAAGGAATCAAATTAAAAGTTGAAAAGTATATTAAATATTCTATAAAAAACCTAGTTTTAAAATTGTATATTATGATATATTTTTTGATGGAAGATATGGCTGTAAAGGATCTTTTTCTAAAACTCATATCTAATTCATAAAGTCTTTTCTTTTTAAAAGATAACAAGAAAGGAATAAGCACAATAAAGAAAAAAAAATCGCCTAATCAATATTTTCCAAGAACATGTCACTCAAACCGAAAAAAGGAAAAAAATGTTGATGAAATCGATTCTAAAGAATAAACCAATATTCTCCATTTACCAATTTAAAGAAAAAGTCCAACAACTTAGAGTTTATTTTGGAACCAGATTCCAAGTATTGATGACAGCAAGAAGTTTTCTCTGCATGTGCAAAGCTCTTGTCTTCAACACAACTCCTTAAATTGTGATAATCCTAGGGAAAATCAATAAATACAATATTCCGACCAAAAATACCAATGCCTACCTCAGATTGGTTTTGAATAAGTAGATATTAATGGAAATGGTAAAGAGACAAAGAACTGCTTAATTTAAAGTGATTAATTTACTTCAACGTACTTGATTCAGCAGAAACGCTTCTGCATACAAACATGCTAATCTCCCAATATTGATCACCTCCTGTACATATTTATGTAGCAATCAATTGAACAATCAATTGAACTGTTCATCAGTTTATTTATTGAATTATCTTTCTATCATTTTACTACTTGGTCATTTAATCTATCTGTTCAGTTACATTTGATTTATTTCATTTGCTTGTTCCTTTCATCTATCTTTTCATATCTACTTATTTCAGTCAGTTCAAATATTTAGATGTCATTCTGTCCATATCTCTCTCTCTCTCTCTATATATATATATATATATATATATATATCATCTATCTATCTATCTATCTATCTATCTATCAGTCTGTTCATATTTATCTGTCTGTACATGCATACATTATCTCTCTCTCTCTCTCTCTCTCTCTCTCTCTCTCTATCTCTATCTATCTATCTATCTATCTATCTATCTATCTATCTATTTCAGTCTGTTCATATCTATCTATCTATTTCAGTCTGTTCATATCTATCTATCTATTCCCTGACTATCTATCTATCTATTTCAGTCTGTTCATATCTATCTATCTATCTATTTCAGTCTGTTTCTATCTATCTATCTATCTATCTATCTATCTATCTATCTATCTATCTATTTCAGTCTGTTTCTATCTATCTATCTATCTATCTATCTATCTATCTATCTATCTATCTATCTATTAAATAATAATAAATACTGAAGTCTTGCCATGAACAGATGGTTGTCATTGTATCTTTATCAGTTTTTAAGTCTTGCCAACTTTTAAATACCATGTAATTTTTGTGTCCAAGCTGAAAACTCTGTTCTTTTTATATTTATTTATTTTTTTTGATAAATTTCATCACCAATAGAAAAATATGATCCTAATTTTCTTCTTTTATAACAAAGATTTAATGGAAATTCATTTGTAATTCAATAATTTATACTTTGAAAATTTACGGTGAAATTTTAAAAATGTCATCTCCGTAAGTGGTAAATGGATTTTCTTATTTACATACAGGTTTAGTTTAATTCATGATAAAATGCAAATTGGTTATATACAAATGATAGAGACATTTTCTGAGTGGAAATAAGGAAAGTGTGTCCAAAATCTGGGCTTAGTAAAACCATGAATCATTGTGATATCGACAAAGAAGCTTGTCCAATATGAGTGAGTGAAAAATTGTTTCTTGGCTTCTTTCTTAAAGTGGTGACAAGGAATAAGAAAAACAAGAAGGAAAACAGATGATGAGCATGAGAGAGAAGGAAAATGAAAATCGGAAGGAAAAGAAGAAAGTAAGACTATGAAAGATTATCAAAAAAGAGTGAAGGAATGAATGAAGAAGAAAATGAACAGAAGAAGAAGAAGAAGAAGAAGAAGAAGAAGAAGAAATGATGATACTGATGATGGATTAAAGAAAAGATGATGATGATGATGATGATGATGATGATGATGATGATCATGATCATGATGGAAGAAAATACGAAATGAAACCATAAAATACAAAAGTAAAGAAGAAAATGGTAAAAAAAAAACAAACAATGAAGAAAATATAGACAAAGAAGACAGAAACTACTTTCTAAAATTTCTTGCAGGAAGTCTAAAAGAAGAAAAGGAAGATTCAAGAACAGGTGGCCAAAGTTGTTGGCACTGTAACTTTCAGGTAAATATTTTACACCTGTAACTCTGCAAAGACTGATTCTAATGGCCAAATTGTTGAGGGAGAGGAAGAATGGCAGCAAATCTCCAAGTGGCTCACAACTTAAACAAGTGGTATAACTCTCTCTGTAGCAATAATGCCAAACAAAATAACTATTGATTCTAAGATGAGTACTAAACACGAAGAAGCTGGAGAGAGGACTTTCTTGTCACGGTATATTTACACACACACATATAGAGATAAATATGCTATGTATTTATAGATAGATAGATAGATAGATAGATAGATAGATAGATAGATGTAGGGAGAGAGGGAAAAACAGAGAGTCTATGTACTTTTGTCAATGTGCTTTTAGAAAGTAATAAGCCTTTCTACTCATTGTATGTTGAAAAACATTAAATGTTCTAAGACAGCAACACTTTGTAGTGTATACAGACTCCAGTTAGCACCTATTACCAAATTTTGTAAATTAACCACCATTATGCAGAGTCCTATTGACACCTAGGCACATGCAAGAGCATACATAGGCATACATACATACATGAATATATATATATATATATATATATATATATATATAGAGAGAGAGAGAGAGAGAGAAAAGAGAAAGACAGAGAATGATGGAGAGACATGTGTAGATATCTTTAATGTACATATATATATATATATACTAACAGATGTACTCATATATATATATATATATATATATATATATATATATATATATATATATATATATATATAATACATAATCATTAATCCGTCTTTCATTTCATATACTTTCATTCACATATATATATATATATATATATAGAAAGAAAGAGAATGAGTGAGACATATGTAGATATCTTTAATGTACATATACATATATATATACTTATAGATGTACTCATGTATATATATATATATATATATATATATATATATATATGAATACATAATCATTAATCCATCTTTCATTTCATATACTTTATATATATATATATATATATATATATATATATATATATATATATATATATCACTATATACACATATGATTATTGAAAATAGAATCTATTGTTTTCACGAGAGAACCAACTTGAGCTTCGCCTACCTTTTTGCTGTGTTTTCAACCCCATAACTTGTATTCCATGATGTTGCTGCAGAGAAATATGTTTGTTAAACTCCAGCATGTTAGGCAACAATTATTGAGAAGAGAGGGTGAAATGTACAACGGGTCCTAATCGTCGTTGTGGTGAGGGGTGAGTAAGGCAGTCACATGCCGAAGCAGTCAGATCTCCCGACGTCTAATCGGAATGGAAACATTCCTGTGCCTCTCTCAAAAGAATTGTCACTTTATTTTTCCAGTTTTGGAACGCAGCATGTAGAGAGATAGAGAGAGAAAGAGAGAGACATACAGACAGACAGACAGACAGAGACAGAGGCAGACAGAGGGAGAGACAGAGGCAGATAGAGCGAGAAAGAGAGAGAGAGAGATAATATGTGCATGCGCCACTGCCTGTGTATGTTAGCCTTGGCATCTATTAATCAATGTGCGTTAAGGTGCGTAAGTGTATGCGTGTGTGTATGTGTGTGTACGTGTGTGTATGTGTGTGTGACTACGTGTTACACAACACCTCGTCCTCTCTCTCTCTTTCTCTATGCCTGTCTCTGTCGCTATCGTTGCCTGTTCGTGGAAGTTTCACTCGTTTTGATCTACTGGAAAGGAAGATGAGGAGAAAAAAAGAGAGAAAGAAAAAAAAAAAAAAAACAGAGCCAGAAAGACGCGTTGAAAAGAAAGTCAGAGATGAGAAAGTAGAGAAAAGTAATGAAAAAATATGGACACTGACAAAGATTACATATTGCAGAAAGAGACTGGAAAAGAGAATGTTTGAATAAAATATATAGAAAGAAATGAAGGAAAGAACGAAAATTGACAAAAGACAAATAAATAAATATATAAAGAGAGAAAGAGAGAGAAAGAAAGAGAGAGAAAGAGAGAGAGAGGGGATAGAGAGAGAAAGAGAGAGAGAAAGAGAAAGAGAGAGAGAAAGAGAGAAATAAATACCGAGTGGTTGAGATAGCGATAGAAAAGAGAGAACTAAACACTTAATGAAATAGAGAGAAAGTGGGGGAGAGAGACAAAAGGAAAATTGTTTAAAGGAAGAATTAGAAATGAAATATTAAAAATGAATGAACAGAAACGAAAAAAGAAAGGAAAAGGGAAAAAAGAAAGAGAGTGTGAGAAATAAAGAGAGAGACAGAGAGAGAGAGAGAGTAGAGAGAGAGAGAGTAGAGAGAGAGAGAGAGAGTAGAGAGAATTTACATAAAAGCAAAAAAAGAAACACTTGTGGAAAAGAAAAAAGATGAAGATAGAAATATTGCTTTAAAAGGACACATTCCAAAATAGTCCAAAAAAGAATTCAGCAACTGCAAAGAAAAGAACGAAGAAAAAGAAGAATGAGTGAGTGAGTGAGAGAAAGAGAGAGAGAAAGATAGAGAGTGAGTGAGAGAAAGAGAGAGAGAAGCTCTTCCACTACTGCCCTTCACTGCCTGCCACTGGCCAATGCTACCAATTCCAACCGAGTAAGGAACAGGGGAACACTACACTCACCTCTGTCAAACAGAACCAGGAAAATTGTAAACCGGACAAATAATAATAATAATGCTTGTACATCTTAAATACACCGACGGTTGGGAGACCTCGCTTTACTAAAACTCATCCCATCACACTTTAACGTGATTTTATTTGGTTTTACCACGCTAAAAATTCATTTTCTTTTATATTTTATTTGTTGGTTTTATCTTTAAAAAAAAGCAAGAAAAAAAGGAAAAAAAAAACTAGTTATCTGAGTTTTCTACTTTCACTTTCATTTTTAGACATGTGTCTACTTTCACTTTTGTTCTCTATCTTTCACTGCATTTTCAACCACAGATCTATACATACAAAACACACATTTTTGGTGGAAACAAAACAGAAGAGAAAGGTAGGAAAATATTTCGGCAGGTAACTTTTTTTTTTGTTTTCGCGTAGCATACGTCGTAGTCTTCGTAGCATTCAACAATAACAAAATGTGCGTTAATTCCATCTTGCATGGCTAGTTGCCCCAATTCTTTCTTATTTTATGTCATTTCTTGGAGAATTGCTCAGTTTTACAAGTAAACTTTACTCACATGGTCTGCTCATCCTTCCGTGGTAGATAGGAAAACACTTTTTCGCTGACCATCTCTCTTTACCGTAATCTTCCCTGTCTCTTTGCTGATTTCCCGTCTTTTTCTGTTGTTGCGTCAAGAAGCGGTATCTCCGTTCGAAGCTTTTCGAATTATATGTATATGTTATAAACGATAAAAAAAAAATTGATAGCCACTAACTTTCGCTTTTGTTTTCTTTGATCTCGCGTTGTACAACTGGAAAAGCGTTTGTGTCTCTCTTTAAGTGACACAAATCAGTCAACATGCCATATTAAAACTGTCGATTGAAATTGACTAAAGATTTTCGTCGAAAAATATTTTGCCCTTTTCTTTTCTTTCGCTGCGTTTTACATCTTTTGTCTTGTGTATCGGGTTACCGTTTAGCATTATAACGCTACTACTTGAATTTGATTAGTATATAAAGGTGGATTTGGTTCCGTACGGTGAAAATTTCCCTGTGCATACATGTGGCCAGGCCGATTTGTTCTTGTAGTCTGTGTCTGTGTGCGCGAAGTTGCGGGTGTGCACAGCTCCACAGACAACCACTGACTTGCTGCTTGCTTCACTTCCTCAGAGTCTCTTCATATTGGGTACCATGCTTTATAATATATCTATTATTATTGTTATCAGTAGACTACAACTATAGGCTTCTATTTTCATAACGGCGGCATTGCCTTTATTTTCTTTTGCATAAGGTGAGGACGATACAGACAATGAATATTACATCATTATAATAACTAAGAATGCTAAGAAGACGTGTTGTCACTTGATCTCCAAGGGGTGACATCAGATACAATTGGTGGGGAAACTCTACATCTCAACATAATAGTCTATTAATAATGAAAGAAGAAATAAAAGCTTATATTTTCGCTGTTTTTGAAGAGTTTTAAATCAATCTATTCAGCTACCATCTCGTTCACATGGTTCTGTTGAAAGTAAAACATGTTGCTTACAGATAATTTTGGTACTTTTGGTACATGAGTCAATAAAGAAAGAAATTCAAATTAAGAATAGCAATATTTTCCATTGTTTAAGCCATAAATATGTCATTAAAAATGAATGCAAAGAAACGAAGTAGATACTGTCAAGGAAAGATAAAAAAATATTGATTAAAAAATGACATTTTAAATGTATTTTTATTTAGCATTAAAATGTAGAATTTGAAGAATTTTTTTGTGTGGAGAATATTCGAACGTATCTCTTATTTTAAAATCATATTCGTTCTGTCTCAGTTCTTTGAAGTTATTCATGTCCATTTTCTCTATTTCTCTTTTTCTTTCTAAGGGCTATTATCTTCACTCTCTCTTAATATGTCTGTGTCAAAATCTATCTATCTATCTATCTATCTATCTATCTATCTATCTATCTATCTATCTATCTATCTATCATGAAGTGTTCGTTTATCAGCCTAAGCCTGTACTAATATACCTTTTTTACCATATACCCACTCATACATATTGCCGTATCTGTGTAGGCATGAGAATCTAAAAAAACATGCACTTACTTTCACACTTAAAGTGTATTTATTTTTATAAGAAGATGTCAAAATTACAGTTTGAAATTCTAACAGGTATTTAGCCATAAAACTTGCAGAAATAAAACCTGAATACTTTCGACAAAAAAAAAAAAAAAAGAATTATAATAATTTTTGTAATCTTATAAAAATGTAAAATATTTTCTGCCCGTCAAAATAAATTATCTGAAAGGATATTTTTCAGACTAAAAATATTGATAGGATATATAGAAAGAAAAACGAGGAAGCTGTAAATGTGGGTAGCAACATGTGTAAGAAGATGGCACACGCAAAGAGAGCACACAGACTTATCAACACATTAATAAACCATATATAGTACACTAATATGGGATATATACATATATGTAAACACCCCCACCCCCATATATATATATATATACCTTCAATCATAAATGCACAATATGATTTTTATTTCTTTATACGCATACACAAGTATAAATAAATACACACGTGAAAATAATATACATATCGATCTGTGTATGGCTATGTGTGTGTGAAGCGGATACATAGGTAAAAAAACATACTTATGTACACTATACACAGTCCTAGATATATCCATGGGTGAACACATTTATATACGCACACACTTACTTGTGTGTTGTGTTTATAAACACATAAACACGAATTATGTGTGTTCGTGTGTCAGTATAGGTTTAATGAAAGACAAAAGACATGAATATACACATGTGTAGACTTCACAAAGAGAGGTAATAAGAAAACATAATGCTATTTCGAGTGACAGTCTTATTCATAGTTTACCTTAAGCTTCTCATGGGTCTCTGTGTATGTTTGTGATTAGATATAAACTGTTGTAAATTGTGATCGGGAAGTCGATCTTTGTACACGCACACAGGCAAGCACTTCAACACAATCACCCATCGATCAAGTTATATATATATATATATATATATATGAATGATAAATAAATGGCAACAATTTGCTAGCTGGGTATGATGTTCACGCAACATGCCTCGGATTATGGCAGGCATTTACCTATTTTCAACGATTGGCGCACGCAGACACATTGCAGCGGGGGAAAATTGTATATATGCATTCTTTTTTTTTTAATGGTATCAATCATTCTTGTTACCGTGGCTCGATTTTCTTTTTTAAATAAGTAAGAAATATAATAATAAAATGAAATAAAACATAAATAAAGTCAGATTAATTTGAAGAGGTGATATTTTGGTCGACAATTGGGAATATTCGACACGAATACTTCGCTGAAATATTTGAATAAATAAAAAAAATCAAATAAAAGAAAGTTTTTTTTCTTCATTGGAAGTTTTTTCATAAAGAGCAAAGCAGATTCGAATAAAAAGTTTAAAAGAAAAATAAAAAAGAAGAAAGAACATCTTTTCATGAAAGAAAGAGAAGGATAAAGAAAGAAAGAGAAGGATAAAGAAAGAGGACAGAGAAAGAGAAAGAAGGGTGGATGTTGCTAGCGAGAAAAAAAGAATGATTTTAAAAGGTTTTGAAATCTTTTTTTAAGAAATAAAGAATAAGGTTGAAGACAAAGGCAAAGATTAAAAAAGGAAGTAGACAAAGAAAAAAGAAAAGGGTAAAAATATCGTGAACAAAGAAAAGAAAAAAATGAAAGGGAGCGAGAATATAAGAGTTTGACTGAGACTAAAGGAAAAGGGAGAGTAGAAAAGTAGATTTTGAAAGGGAAAAGAAAGAAAGAAAGAAAGAAAGAAAGAAAGAAAGAAAGAAAGAAAGAAAGAAAGAAAGAAAGAAAGAATTATATATGAAAGGGGAGGAGAAAGAGTAAGAGAAAGTTGGGAATATATTTGTAAGAGTCTTTTAGTAAATAATTGTATCAGTAGAGGAAATAATAATAATAATAATAATAATAATAATAATAATAATAATAATAATCACTTGCTGCTGTGAAGAAATTTCTTTCTCTCCTTCTCTCTTCAATTGTTGTGGGTATTCATTGATGATTTCAGCTTAAAACTTACGGATCACCATGAACAAAAAAACACCAACAGAGACAAGTATAAACCAAAATATATCGGCAACAATATGAAATTATATTGAAGTGTTTATTTTCCTTCCCAGAAAAATGGCAGGGGCGGGAAAGAAACATTCCAATTTCAATTTATTTAATTTTATTTTATTGTGCTATTTTTACAAATTCTTTTTTTTATTTAACTCATTTTTAATTTTTACCTATTTTGTTGAGTAACTGTCCATTTGTCTTTTCTATTATTTTCCTTTGTTGTTGTTGTTGATAAATAGCAAAAAAAAAAAAAAATTATCACTAATTCTTCTTCCGTGTTCTTTTCTGCCACTTAAGGTACGACTTTAATGTGTAATTAGATTATTTAAATTAATTATTTGATTATGCAAATTAGTATTTATTCTTTATGGGAGTGGGGTTCATTTCTTTTGAGTGGTACCAAGTGGTATAGTCTTTTTGGTATGTTATTGATACTTGACTTCACTTATTCTTGTAAAAAGTATGCGTATCCTACACTGACACACGCATGAAGAGACGTAAGTAAACTTACACATTCCGTTGGCAATATTGTAAAGTAAATATTACGGAGAAAGTACACGCGTTGATGTTAGCACTGTAGAAGGTGACACGAACAGAAAACGATGCAATAGTGTCGGCGATTTACGAGAAGGAACGGAGCCTTTTTTGGCTATTCCAAAATTACACGGACACACACATATCTTACATATGTGTGTGTGAGAGAGAGAGAGAGAGAGAGTGTGTGTGTGTGTGTGTATGCATATATATGTCGAATAAACAGACATACTCACATTCATCGAAAGTAAATAAAGTTTTTACACACCACATGATAAAAGTACACTTTTATTTCCGCTCATCGATTCAAGTACGACACTGCGAAATGTAAGAACATCGCCTAAGAAGTAAAAACAAACAAACAACAAAAAGACAGGTTTGTAAAACCTCTCCTTGACCCTTCTGCCCTTTTCCTATGCCCATTGATGGGCTGGATGCTTTCCAAATGAGATATTTTCTGTTTTGTCTAAATGTTTTGGGCACCTGGTGTCCTCGGCTGGTCACCCAGCTAAGCTAAAAATGAGAGTACTCTGGACTCTCGGCGTGATACAGCAGTGGGCACCCTGCTTTTACAAATATACATAATGACTGCAAGGTTCTTGCACACCACACATACATTTAGACCCACCTTCACACATAAATTGTGTTTAAAGACAGAGGCTTAAATATTGGTTTCAATGCAATCATACACACCATCCTTAGGTTGGGCTCTAATTTGAATATTGTACTGGTGGCTGAGATGTTTGAGGTTCAGCTTTATGAGATGGATTTGTTTGAGGTGCTTGTTAATGTAAACTAAAAATTATATAAGAATAGAAAGAGAAAAGGAGAGATATAGAGTAACGGAACTGACTTGGTTTAAAAATAGAAAAATTAAAATGAGAGACAACACAAGATAGACGTACAATTAAAATGGTTTTATATACTCACTCTTAGAACCTACTCGGAAATTTAAGTTTATT